TCATGTCATCATTTTTCATATTCTCATAATCATAGCTTATCTCAATAGTTCATTCTTATGTCTCATGTCATTTGTACATATTTCACATAGTCATGTCATAATTGTTCCTCATAAGGTCCGCACAGGAATCCACAGAGAGCACTCTTATTCATATTAAAACTTATTTATTTTTAAAATTAATTACATATTCATTCATTACTTCAAACATGTATATTATATCTACACACTCTTTTTTTTTTTTTTATAATTTAGCAATCCATCAATTTCTTCGCATAAAATATATATTTCATGGTTTGCTAATTTCAATAATTACATTAATATATGTTTAAAAAGAAAAACTACAACAAGAAAGGAGAATGTAAGAAAATCATTGATTTTGATCAAGCAGCAAAATGTGATATTAATCATAAATTTCAAGAGCCAAATTACAATAAATTGATTAATCAATATTATTTATCTTGAATGATAAACTATTTTAAGTTAATACATGACATAAGAGTAAAAATAATTCTTTTTATCCTTCATTACACCAAATTGAATATTAGTTTCTTCTTTGATATTGTTAGTTGTGTTAAAATCTTTTCATCCTCCACTCAAATGACAGTGAATTGGTGAGTCAATATGTCAATAGGATTTGTAGTTTTTGAGAGCACGATGACAAAACTCAATAGATAAACACTGTCATATATATGAATAACTTGTAAAAATATTCATAAGGGTGTAAGGTTTCTATTTGTTTTCTTGCTCGCTTATCTTCTGGATCAAGACATATTGGGAAAGAATGGTTTTAGAGTTTGAAAAATTTATTTTCTAATAATCAACTTTATAACATAATTTATCTTTGACGATCATAACAAATGTATTTTCGGATATATAAGTTAGAGTAAACCAACCTACTTTCTCAAGACCATATAAAAGACCTATTATACTTGGCAGCATTAAGTTAAATATATTCTAGACTTTTTATTTTAACATATATCTCAAAACCATTTCCAAAAGGATTTTTAAGAGCGACAATATTTAGAATGATATTATAAAAATCAATTGAGAATAATATATGCAGCCTAATTTTATTTTGAACAAAAGAGAATAAGTCATGTTTAACATGAAATACATTGATATGCAATAATTATATTCAAAATAGAGAAAGATGATATAAAACTTACATATTGTGAACATATTCACAATGGAAAGTTCGATTCTTCATATTTTTTAACATTTATTGTTCTTCTTTGGAATCATATCCTAATTATTGTTCTATTCACAAATTATATTAAAAGAATTAACACCGGTCGCTGTGAGAAGTGGATTTTAGATGTAACTTTATTAAATAAATAAAAAATGAGAATCAAAGAGGAACTAGAAGTGAGAGGTTATGAGATGAAAGTTTATAAAATATAAAATAGGCTTAATTACACTTTTGGTCCTTTTAATTTAGTGTAGGAGTAATTTTGGTCCTCATAATTTGAATTGCTTAATTTTTGTCCATAAATTCAAATAATGGACAATTTTAGTCCCACAAATAATTTACTATCCAAAATTTAACAGACGCTAATGATCTGGATTTTATGCTACATAAAAATTAATTATATATTATTTAATTTCTTACGTGTCAAATTATTTAATATTCAAATTTTAAAAATTTTAAATTCAAATTCGTTTTCTCATCCTCTATACCTTTCCCTTTGTTTCTTCACCAGCACCCTTGCTAGTAACGTCATGTACTCTTCCAACACCTCTGCCATGATCGCCACTAATATCATCTCTTTCCAACAATCACTACGAGAATTTTTTACTGAAATAAAATTTTTTTAATTTTTTTTTACCAAAACAGCACCTGTTCCACTTTATTTATAGAAGTAGCATCTTTTACTATTCATGCTCAGAATTCGGTTCTCGGGGAACCGAATTCTGAGTAATGTTTATTTTTTTTCTTTTTTGTTTGTAGTTCAGGTTGTGTTAATGTTGCAACTGGAACGGTCCGTTCTCCAAGTAGAACGGGCCATTCTGCTTGCATGCGTAGTTTGTTAATTTTGAAACTGGAACGTCCAAGTAGAACGGCCCATTTTGATCCATTTGTCATTGTGTATTTTTGCATCCGGAACTGCCTGTTCTAAAAGGAAAACAGACCGTTCTGTAAGTGCTGCATGGAGAACGGGCCGTTCTGAAAGGAGAACGGGCCGTTCTGGATCCAGTTTTATACCATGCTCAGATCCAAAACGCAAAAGAATAAAAATAAAAAAAATTATATTTTAGTGAAAAATTCTCACTGCGATTGATATCAATACCCTTTTCATTTTATTTTCAATGTTATTTGAATTTAAAATTTTTAAAATTTGAATATTAAATAATTTCACACGTAAGAAATTAAATGATATATAATTAATGTTTATTTAGCATAAAATTCACATCATTAACGTCTGTTAAATTTTGAATGATAAATTGTTTGTGAGACTAAAATTGCCTATTATTTAAATTTATGGACCAAAATTAAGCAATTCAAATTATGAGGACCAAAATTACTCCTACACTAAATTAGAAGGACCAAAAGTGCAATTAAGCCTATAAAATATTAGAAGAGTATGTATCCAGACCTTACAAATTAAAATTAACCAAGAATAGTGAAACATTATTGGGTAAAGTTATACTATCTTTTTATATGATCAATAAGAGAGATGTTAATAGATATTCAAATAGTAGATGTATCGTAATAGCTAGATATAGGGAAGTAATAAGCATTCAAAGTTACAATTGTGAAAAAATTGATATTTAGTGTAATTTTCAAGAAAAACTGACATTTATTAAACCTTTTAATTCATGAAGAATATGTACATATGTACTTATATTTTTTTAATGTGACAATTTAAGTGAGAAAATATATTGAATACTTACTTCGCTTTATATATGAGCGTGATTTCATCATTATTATTTCCATCAAAATACTATTTTACACGTCACACTATTTTTATAAAGTTTAATATATATTCATTTTATTTTAATTCAAAGAAAATATAAACTAGTTTTTCCTATATATTTTCTTAAATAAGTGACAAACTTTTCAATAAATTTATAATAACATTTATGTATAAACATGTTTATAAATTGAATAATCTTATGAGAATTTCTATGGTACCTCCACATTTTAGCAACCCCTAATCTTATTAACAAATTAACTACAAATAATTTACAAAAGTGTATAATGTAATAGTTTAATTTAAAATCACCTATCTCTATTTTATTTTATTTTTATTGAATATATAGAGGCCTTCCTCGTGGTGAGAATAAAATAAAATAAAATAATTTTAGAGTGCAGCGAAAGAAGTCGGATATATTTATGAGGAGAGAAGGAAATGGTTCACGTGTTTTAGATTTTCGAGAAAACCAATTGAAAATAGCGCACATGCTTATTCCGTTGCCAAAGCTAAGGTCAAAACTTTGTATTGCATTCGTACAAATATCATCACCACTGAAAAATGGCTACTATTGTTAAGGGATATGTGCAAGTTTTTATATTATTATATATTTATAAATAATAGATATTCACTTAACAAATATTTATACAAATATGAGAATAGATATATGGTAAATACTTATCTAATAAGAAAGTAGTGGAACAATTTTACCTTTATTTTTTCTGTCTATTAAAATCCTTGGAACTAGGTCTAAACTATAGTTATTTTAGAGTAACAATTAAAGTAAATTGTTGAAAAAAAAAATTTAGACTAAGTTTAAAAATTTAAATGACATTTTTGTTATTTATTATTTTAGAGTGATAGTACTTTCTTCCCTATATTTAATTTACTAAGAGTAAGAAAAATAGTTAATTTAGTTGATAATAAAAAATTTATTTTATTTTTATATTTTTTTCAAAATCACCTTTGTATTACTTTTCTCTTTTAATTAATATTCACCTTTCTCTTAATTAAATAGAGTGTGTGTTCTATATTATTATCATAATTAATAGTATTTACTCTCTTGACTAATTAAAGTATATGTCTTTTATAAAGTATATAATTACTCTTTTTGTTCCTTTTTATTTGTCAAATTTTTAGTAAAATTTTGTTTCTATTTATTTGTCATTTTCAAATTTCAAGACAATATTAATTGTTTTGTTTTTAATTAAACCCTTACATCTCACCTAACATTTAATTAATTTACTTATAACAACTAATATACTTTTATTATGAAGCAAAAATGAAAGATGGTATAATAGAAAATATCAAAATTATTCTATAAAAAATAAGAAATTTACTACGTTTCTTGATTTGTATAAAACAACTTCAAATGCCTATTATAGAGAAACAAAGATAATAATATATTTTATCAAATTAAGAGAACTTGTTTTAATTAAGGGTATAAAATTAATTAATGTATTTCTTGCTCCATGGTTACTTTTGTATCCACGTTAAAAAGAAAAAAAGAGCATAGTAAGTAACTAAATCGATAGGTTGAGCTTAGAAGATGAGTGTGTTAATGGTACGTATCTGATATTAATTAGAATTGAGTCGAATATCCAACCCAACGCTTCTCTTCAACACTCTCCTCTCCCTCCTAATTGCAATTTAATAAATCCAACTCATTCATTCAATCCAAAGCCAATTGAATGATACACTCACACTCTTTCCATGGAACCTCCTCTCATCAGCGACTCCCTCTCCGAGATTTGGCCCGGAATGCGCAAGAGGAAGGACGCCGCCGCAGAGGACCACTGCTCCAACCTCCTCTCCTCCACCGCCACCGCCACCGCCACCGCCAACCAATCCAATGTACAACATTACATTAATTTAATTACTGCTCTTTTTAATCTTATTACTATTTTACCCTTTCATTGGCTGCTGCTGTTGCTACTGCTACCTGCTTTCGATTCCTTCATTTTCCATGTCAAATGCATTTCTAGTTTGCTTCAACTCTACCAGTGACTCACTGACTGCTGTTGACCAATTATCAACTCTAGGGTTTAGTCAATTTCATTTCTTTTCTTTTTTCCCCCTTGTTTGTTTTGAAGTTAATTAGGGGAGAACATTTTGAAATTTGATTCCGAGACACAATGTTTCCCTCTTTGCTTTAAAGGAAATAAAGCGAAATTCAAATTTGGTTCTATTTAGATTTTTTGTTTTAAAAGTCAATGTTTTTCTCTCGCACACTTTTTCTTTTGTTTTCTCTTGGACCAAGTAAACGAAAATGCATGGTTATTTGTATTTTTATTTATTTTTATTTTTTTATTTTTTTTTTGTTTTCTCTCGCTGACTTGTTGAGTGGTGATGGCATGTGTGGAAATTTGAACAGAATGATTCTGGGAGCCATAAACGGATCAAGTTAGGGGGGTCCAGCGTTGAAAATGATGCTTTGAAAGCTGAGGCAGAAGCAAGTTCCGCAGGGGGTAACAAGTCGAGTGAACAAAGCACTAAACCTTCTTCTGAGGCACCGAAGCAAGACTATATTCATGTGAGAGCTAGAAGGGGCCAAGCTACCGATAGCCACAGTCTAGCAGAAAGAGTAATTCTCTTCTCTTTTTTTTATTTACTGTCTCTTACGAGTTTTGCTTGCTGATGCCCATTTTTTCTTGATCCAGAAACAAATGATAAGTATTGGAACTTTTTGACCTTTATATTTACTGTTTTTTCACGGGAATGGCACATAACAGCAACTGTTTTGGCAGGCAAGAAGAGAAAAAATCAGTGAGAGGATGAAAATTCTTCAGGATTTGGTGCCAGGGTGTAACAAGGTAAACATAATATTCTGTTAGACCATTGCAAGATTAATGTTTCTGTAATGCCTTTAACATTGCTTTTATTTTTCAATGTTCAGGTAATTGGTAAAGCACTTGTCTTGGATGAGATAATCAATTACATCCAATCGCTGCAGCGTCAGGTTGAGGTGGATATCTTCATCTTTCTATCTCTATTTAGTATTTTCACTCAGTAACCACTAAATCTAATTCTGTATACAAAACAAATTGAGTTTTGTAGTTCCTTTCGCTGAAGCTTGAAGCAGTTAATTCAAGAATGAACATGAACCCTACTTTTGATGGGTTTCCTTCAAAAGATGTAAGTCTGTCAACTTTGATGTTGATCACATTGACTTATATTATTCAATTCACACTTACTTGCATAAGATTTAAATGTTTTGTGAAACTGTATGAACTGGTTGCTGTCAGTGTCAGCTTTTGGACTACCGCAGAAGGAAATTACTCTAGGCTAGGAGTGTTTTGTTTGAACAAATGTTAACTAAAATTATTTGTTTTATAGTAAATTATTCTTCTTGACTACTTTTATTTGAAAGATGTCAAAAACTAGTAGGACAAAATGATTTGAGTATATATGGATCCATTTGTGACACCATTCTCACTGATCAGTTGGCAAAGCTCAATTGAAGTCAAGTTGGTTTGGAACAAAAAGAGAGGAAGTGAAGAAAAGAAAGGAATTGAGGGAGAAAGGCAGAATCAATATTGAGCAGGGAAAGGAATAGATCAGAATGGGAAAACTGAATAATGATGTCCAATTCATTCTCAAATTCAAGGCTTGGTATCCAGATCTTGCTGCACGACAATTGATAAATTGGCAAAACCAGCTTGATTATCAAGCAATCTAATAACTCGATTATCGTCATATCTTCCTCAAAATATCTGAAGGCTTATCAGTAGAAGGAAAGGATTGAGTTAGCATATTGTTTCCCTGATCTTGTCTCCGATTTTAATTTAACATCTATTTTAGATGGAACAACATTCTGTAGGTCAGCCTTCTCGGAGAGGACAAAAGGTTGAAGCTTTGAACTACATCTTGTAAAAGTGTATAAGATTTTTAGAAGCTCCAAACTGGTATGGATAAATTTTTTCCTTTGGGTAGAAGTGCATTGGAATGTGCAAAAGTGCATTGGATTGGGACTCGCAAATATGATGTATGTGGCAAGATAGGCTAAATCATCTGAAATTCACTCTGGCAAAACCCAAATTAGCTCTATATAAATTTGATTTGAATCTTTGGAGGGAATGTGACCATATTTTCCATCAGATTTAGAGTTTAATCATACTTTTCATTGTGATCATATGGATTGTAATTGTTGTTATCGGTGCAGCAAGCATGATCATTAGTTAAAACTAGTGGGAACTTGATATGTTTGACCTCACATAGTTCAGGTAGAGCGGCTAGCAGCTTGATTTCAAATTTTTGTTCTCATTATGGGTGTAACGTCTTGAAACCTTATTACCATAATATTTATTCTGTGTGGCACTTTAATATGGATAGGTCATGAGGTAATGAATCCAAAATAGGAGACGATCTAAATTAATGTTCATGACATTAAAAATGCTCAAAATATTCTTCAAGGAAGCTTCGAGAAGTAAAAGTAACATCGTCTTTTAGTTGTGGATGTCCAAAAGCTTGGAAGCGGTATGCAGACTGCTGAGAAGTGTAGTCGCTTAAGTTAAATCCACCAAATGGATATCCAAATGGATATGGGGGTGTGCCTTTGATATTGCCCAGGATGGGTGTTGGTTGATGCGAAGGATAGCCTTAGGATATTATTACCAAATTACGCGCACACACACATTAGTCTAAACACAATTCTTTGTGGAAAATGACTTGATAATTAGTCTGTTTGGATATAATTTAAAAGAACTTTTGAGAACTTTTTTACTAGAAATAAAGACTATTTTTCAGTATAGAAGTTCTTAAAAATCTTTCCAGGCTTGTATTCAAACGTGCTATATGATATAAATTGTAAGCTAGTACTAGTGCCCAATGAGTTCCAACTTCCAAGCACTATCCCTAATGAACCTTCAATCTTACCATTTTAAAGGAGCAGTTGCAGTTTTCTATCAAAGATAAATATTGTCAATTGGAACTGTATTTTCTTGTGCCTTGCTATCTTTACCAAATTAGTTAGACCTAAAACATTTTTCCTAATGAATATAGTTTTTGTAGGACTGTTTGTTGGCATATATATCATGATCTTGATCAGTTGATAAATTGTTTCAGGTTGGTTCTCAACCATTTGACATTGCTGAAATGGTATTTGGGTCACAAGCAGCTAGGGGGTATACTCAGGGATCACATACTGGCTGGCTGCATATGCAGACAAGTGGTGGTTTTGAGAGAACATCATAATCCAGAGAATTCTCATTGGGAATGACAGATCAGTCAGTAGGATTTGTTTTCTATTAAAAAGAACAAAATTAGAGTGGGTTGAGTAACTAGTGTGCTTTATTAACAACCTAGTCAACTGTTGCCAAATGTTACAGGTTTGTATTTCCTTTGTAACAGTATGATATTATTTATAGAAAGTGCATCTAAATCTTATGTGCTTCACTATATTAGCTGTTAGCAACTAGAAAACAATATTAGTGTGGTTTTTGTTTTTAATCCCTGCTGTGATAGGATTTCTGGCTCCTGATTTGATTTGTATAACGATATATGTTGTAGGAATGCATTTGTGTGTATTTTGAATGATGACAATTTGAAAATTTGGACCATTAACCGGAACAGATTAAGAGAACGCTATGGTGTTTGAAACTATTGATTGTTAATCTAAAGGACGTGTAACCTGATGCTGTCATTGTTGATACACAATAACGTACCAACCCAATATTGATTCTAATAATTATTGGCATACTTAATTATGTTTGTAGTCCATCAAATTTAGGGTAAATCTGTTTTAGGTACTTCAAATTTAAAATTGTTGTTTTTGGTCCCTGTAATTTCAAAAAATCTTATTTTAGTTCTTACATTCAAATTTTGTTAAGAAATTTATCGAATATTATTGCATAAAATCTACTTATTGGTATCTCTATTAGTGAAAATATCATATTAAATCTGATTGATATTGCATAACTGTCTTAATTAATCACTTTCAAATATGTTATTGGTGAGCTACGGGACTAAAACAAAATTTTTGAAAATTACAACGATTAAAAATAAGTTTTAAATTTGAGGGACCAAAAATAAATTTGTCTTAAATTTGAGAGACTAAAAACATATTTAAGCCTTATTCGAATTTTCAAGCAGTCAATAATTGTACATCTGCCCACTACACCACAGGAATTTTATGTTCCTTATACCTCACCCTGAATAGGCTTATGATTTTGACTAGGGGTGAGCATTAAATCAAGACCCAAACCGAACCCGAAAAATCTGATAAAAAATATTACTTTTGGGTGAGTTCAGGTGGATCTTATGGATAAATTAGGTTAAAATTTTAATTTTATACATGTTATATTGGACGGGTTTGGTTTTGAATTTTTAAACCTGCTAAAAGCCGAACCCAACTGAAAATGAGATAAGTTTAGATTTTTATTACGTTTTTATAACTAAACAACAATAGTTCAACTCAAAAGTCTTTATTTCAAATATAATATAGTCATCAATTTGTAACTTTTTTTTTTCTTTTTCTCATAACCTAGATATTTATTTTGTCTTCTCCTTCCTCATTCAACTTCTCAACACACTAGTCATTTTTTAGAGTTTTCGCTTTGTTTCTTTGTCTTTCTTTTCTATCTTCTTATATTTATTTTGAGTACAATTTGTGAGGTTGTGATTTCTTATAGGTTTTGTAATCTAACTTTAGATTTCTTTTGCATGTAACAACTATGGGTTTGTTATCTTTTATTTTTGCTTCTTTAGTTTGTGAATGTTTCATCTACGAATCTACTTACACCATCTATTGTCACATTCATTATATTTATGTACACTATTTTAAAAATATATTTTTTTACTATTTTAAGTTTCACCTTCGTTAAGATAACTTGGTCTACAAAAAACTTCAAACCCGATTGTACCACCTGCTCAAATCCGAATCCATTTCGACCCGAACTGTCTCAAATTGAAAGCTCAGTTGGTTGGATATGAGTCACATTTTCCAAAGTCGGTTTATAATGAGTTGAACATTTTTTACCAGAATCCGACTGAACCCGCCCATTACCCACCTCTAATTTTGACACCCACCTCTTTTGATCTTCTCACCTTAGTTTTTTTTATTCTCCTTCTCCCCTCTCCCCACTCTCTAAGCACGCCCACCCTTTCATTTGCTTATTTTTCCCCCAAATATTTTATCAAATTTTTTATATGTAGCTCTAAATTTTTATTTTTATTTTTATATATTGATGAATCTCTGTCATTTTCTATTTTCATTTCTCTCAACAATGTGAAAAATAATTAAAATTTAGGTAAAGGTTAAGATATAATTGAAAAAATAATAATTAATATTGTATTAGATTTAAAATGACACATAAAAAGAACAATTATCTTAAAAGGATCTACATAAGTTGCAATGAAGTTAATATCTATGACTTCATGCAAACTATCTCAACTCTCATAATCAAACTAACCCTTGTGGTTCGCCTAAGGAACGGAAATAATAGTAATTGAAAAACAATAATGTAATTGGAAGTGCATTTTATTTTAGAGTGGAGTCATAAGCTGAAACACTAATTACTACTAGACCACTAGTGGAGTTGTCAGTGACCCGGCTCGTCCCATTGACTTGACGCAATTCAAAAGAACTTTTGATGAGTTCAGATTTAACAAATTAATCCTTATATTTTTTTAAGATGGATTCAAATTACCCTTCAAGTCGTCTCAACATGATCCAATGTTATATATTTCATCATTTTCAAATAATTATTTATTGATAATAAAACTTCTTAACTTAATAAATAATGTTGTCTAATATGCTATTGTATTTATATTTGTATCATTCAACTTAAAATATATATTGTTAATTATATCTTAATTGTGGTTGTATATTAATTTATAATTTAACTAGATATAATATTAAAATTAATATATTATACTAAGTTGAATTGACTCAGCCATATCCTACATTTGTCAAGTCTTGATCGTATGAAAAATTGACCTCATGAAACTTTCATGCCGTGTAAGAATATGAGCGTACCCGTCCCACAAACACCCTAACTACCAGGAAACTTTTTTTTTTTTGGGTGTGTGTGTTTTCCATTAATTCAATTGTTATCAAGATAAAAATGTTAGTAATTGGCTACAATGAAACACGTCAGACGTCAACATTCTGTATTCATGTAAAAGTTTTCTTAGAGCACCTTCGGCTGGGTGCTTAGATGTATCTTAAAAATAAATAACAGAGCTTACAAGAATTTGCCATTGGAGTGAGCTGATGAGGCAAGAAAAGTTCAAATTTTTTTAGCTTCGTTGCTTCAGCAAGGAATGGTGCTTAGGACTATGAAATTCTAACTGGAGAGGTGTGATTGATTCATCCGGTTCCAAGCCGGAACGTGCACGGAGATTTCGCAAACAAAACTCAAAGAAACCAAGAATTGCCGAAGAGCACCGTCGTCCCCACACCAGCCAGTCCCCATGGCCGTCGCACCAGCACCAACCAATCCCCAAGGTCACCGTCTCCTCATCTTCGTCGACGTCCGCTCACCTTCCTATCGTTGCTCGATGCACTCCACAGCAACGTTGGGATCCTCACCGACCGTGTCGTCGTTGTCCTCTTTAGCAAGTCCGGTGCCACGGAGGAGCTCCACCACCTCATGTCGTGCGCCAAGGCCAAGGGCGCGCTCCTCATCGTGCTCACCTCCGACGAAGGCAACGCGCTTGTCGCTAAGTCAGATCCACTGTCCTAGAGAGAGCTCTATCTGTTCAACCTCGCGTCGGTTAGATCCACCGCCCTCAAACCACCCACTCCATGTGGTCGTCGCCCCCACCCACCACCCACCAGCCACCGCCCGGGAAAGAGAGAGACAAAAGAGAGAACGAGAGAGAATGAGAGAAAGAAAAGAGAGACGTTGAGAAAAGATATAATGAAAGACAAAAGAGAGATGTTGAAAGACATCCAAAAATTGAACGTTGAGAGACATTGGGAAAGTATACTTAAGAGACATTGGGAGAAAAAGAAAGAGACATTAGAAGAAAAAAAATTGAACGTTGAATGATACCCGTGTGTATAAATTGATTCACTATTTAGATTTACTGTTATTCACGTTCACTATTCACTCAGGTTGTGTTTGGATTGAAGGATGGATTTGGGAGAGTGGAAAAGGAAATATTTGAAGAGAAAGAGAGTGAAAAGTGAGGTTGTTTAAATTAAGGGAAAGATAGTGAAAAGTGAGCGGAAAGTTTGTGAGAATTTGTGTAGAAATTGATTGATGTGATATATAAAAATTAAAAATTTAATAGATGAATATGTAATTTACACTTTTACCCTTGAATTAAAAATGAGTAGAATATTATTTATTGTAAATAATAATAATTACAATAAAATTATATTAATAGGTATAATTTATTAAAAAAATAATAAATAATGATAATAATAATAAATATTAAAAAAATAATAAGAATCATAATAAATAATAATGATACTAATTATAATAATAAATAATAATAATAATAATAATAATAATAATAATATTTATAATAATAAATAATAATAACAAAATATATTATGATAATTATATTTTCTAACATTATTTTATTAATGTTTATGAAAGTGTTATTATTTTAATTTTATAAACATGTATTACTTTTTTTTTTTTTATATTTCCACTTTTTGATGTCAATATTTAAATAATAGAATTTTCTTAATATAAAAAAAATGTACAATAAATTTTTTGAAAGTTAATTAATAAATTAAAAAAATTGATAAATCATTGACATAAATTAGAATGAAATGAAGATACATTTGTTAATTGTACAAGTTAATTTTTACCAATTAAAAAATTAAGAAATTTTTAACATTACAAAGTAGATGGGTAATAACATATTTGTAAAATGAAACAGAAAATACAATTCAGTCATCAATTAAGTAAACAATAATTAAATATGACATAAAATAATAGAAATGAAAAACGTTGCAACTAAATAAAATATATTTAAATTACAATAATAAAAAAGAAAATAAGATAACATAGTTTATTCAAATGAACGCCGAAAGTCATCAAATTTTTGTTCGAGGTCATCAAGCCTGTTATGTACTCGATCGAAACCTCTGTT